TTTATTACATGGAGCATATACCTGAAGTACAGTGCCTTGAAAAAGTATTCATACCCTTTGAAATTTTCCACATTTTGTCATGTTACAATCAAAAACGTAAATGTATTTTATTGGGATTTTATGTGATAGACCAACACAAAGTGGCTCATAATTGTCAAAAGTTCAAAAATTTCAAAAGTTGAAAGAAAATGATAAATGGTTTTCAAAATGTTATACAAATAATTATCTGTAAAGTGTGGTGTGCATTTGTATTCAGCCCCCCTGAGTCAATACTGTAGAACCACCTTTCTCTGCAATTATAGCTGCAAGTCTTTTTGGATATGGCTCTACCAGCTTTGCACATCTAGAGAGCAAAATGTTTACCCATTCTTCTTTGCAAGGTAGCTCAGGCTCTGCCAGATTGGATGGAGAGCATCTGTGAACAGCAATTTTCAAGCCTTGCCACAGATTCTCAATTGGATTAAGATCTGGACTTTGACTGGGCCATTCTAACACATGAATATGCTTTGATCTAAACCATTCCATTGTAGCTTTGGCTGTATGTTTAGGGTCGTTGTACTGCTGGAAGGTAAACCTCCGACCCAGTCTCAAGTCTTTTGCAGACTCTAACAGGATTTCTTCTAAGATTATATTGGCTCCATCCATCTTTCCATCAACTCTGACCAGCTTCCTTGTCCCTGCTGAAGAAAAGCATAACCACAACATAATGCTGCACCTTTTTCCACATGTTTGCTGTGTCCCCCACATGGCTCCTCCCAAACTGCAAATGGGTCTTCTGATGGCTTACTTTCAACAATGTCTCTCTTCTTGTCACTCTTATATAAAGGCCAGATTTGTGGAGTGCACAACTAATAGTTGTCCTGTGGACAGATTCTCCCACCTGAGCTGTGGATTTCTGCATCTCCTCCAGAGTTACCATGGGCCTCTTGGCTGTTTCTCTGATTAATGCTCTCCTTGCCCGGCCTGTCAGTTTAGGTGGACAGCCATGTCTTGGTAGGTTTGCAGTTGTGCTATACTCTTTCCATTTTCGGATGATGGATAGAACAGTGCTCCATGAGATGTTCAAAGCTTGGGATAGTATTTGATAACCTAACCCTGCTTTAAACTTTTCCACAACTTTATCCCTGACTTGTCTGGCATGTTTCTTGACCTTCATGATGCTGTTTGTTCACTAATGTTCTCTAACAAATCTCTGAGGGCTTTACAGAACAGCTGTATGTATACTGAGATTAAATTACACACAGGTGGACTCTATTTACTAATTAGGTGACTTTTTAAGACAATTGGTTCCACTACATTTTAGTTAGGGGTATCAGCGTAAAGAGGGCTGAATACAAATGCACGCCACACATTTCAGATATTTATTTGTAAAACATTTTGAAAACCATTTATAATTTTCTTTCCATTTTGCAATTGTGTGCCACTTTGTGTTGGTCTATCACATAAAATCCCAGTAAAATACATTTACGTTTTTGGTTGTAACATGACAAAATGTGGAAACTTTGAAGGGGTATGAATACTTTTTCAAGGCACTGTATACAAGGAAGTGTCCAAGTGCTGTTTACTTCTTATATAATCCTATTATGTATGTTATGTCTCACATGGTCAGCATTACCTCTATAAGCAGGAAATGTTTTAGTTTTGTTGACTACATTCTCAAATGTCCAGCCCACACTTGCCGGGGATTTTATTGCTGGCTTGCTAAGCTCTTCCTGATCAGAAATAGTTTAAGAATGGAAGTCAGACAGCTGAACGTCCTAATAATAACAACACGTTCATATTCAGCTCCAAGCCTAAATTTTACTGTTTAAGTGCAAAGTCTGTTTGTGATGTATATCAATCTTATATATTTCTACAAGCAAGTCATTTGTCCATCATGGTATATTCTTTATAATTCTGAGGGTGTGTTCAGGATATCTCAATTTGAAGTAAACCATAATTAAAAATTTGAATTAAGCCAGAGTAACCAATAGTTTATTAACATCTCTCCACCTCGTCCAATCAGAGAATGCTTTGCATTCATTTAAGAAATGCAAAGTATTCTTTGAATGGTGCCCACGCTCAGTGGCCGAGCATCTGTGTTCACAATGTATCAGGCAGCCAACTCAGCACGAGACCCGGAGGCAAGTGGAGATCACTGGTGTAGCAGTGTCTAGTTCAGTGATTTCCAGCTTCCAGCAGCATTGGTTAGGTATATCATGTACATAATCCAAACTGGACCAATGTAACTACAGTATGTATAACATGCCAATGTCTGGAATATTCTTTATTAATATATCATTTGTATTATAAGTATATTTGTATTAATAGCAAATGTGTATATTATTGGGTAGTAAATGAATTTATATTATCAGAGAGGTACCTGTACACACAAATGTATCCTAGGGCCACAGTAAAAACAAGTATGCATGTTTAGGAACTGTGTAGGCTGGACTTACTCTTTTGAGAATGGTTGGTAACGGATTTTTGGCTCCTGAAATCTGTCAGCCAAGGGCAATGTAATGCAATGTGATCATTGCCCTGTTTACCTTTTTCTGTCTTAACTTTATTGAAATGTCAAAATGACATTTGCTTTAGTACATTTTTCAGCGCACACCATCACAATGCAGTGGTATGCACTGGCACAATAGGAAACAAGGCAATTTGCCTTGTCTCTGTGTTGGACTGTGCTAACCAGTGCAGTACTAATGCATCTGATGTGAACAATCCCTAAGACCTTTACTAGAACATATGTAAGCAGGGTACATTTTTAGCTAGTTAAGTGCTGCCCCGGACAGGTGGGTGAGGTTTAACTCTGTTTCCTGGTTTTTCTTTGGTGGATTTTTTTGCGTTCAACTTACCGCTCCTGTGCACTATAAAAATTGGCTAGTGGTCTGGATTTGGGAGCCCTGAGAGAGAGAAAGTGGCGTGGTGCTACATCTTGCTTACATTCTTGAAGCCTGCCACCATATAGAGGAGTTTCTAAAACCCGGGATTCACTCCAAAGATACCAGCTATTGGAAACTGCCATACAATGGACTCTGTCACAGAGGGACTTTGACTATACAGGTATGCCGGGGCAGCACACAAGCCTGAGGTAGGGATTAGGGACATAGCATAAAGGAACTGGTTATGTCTGTTGGACGCTAATGTAATGTTTTTGACACTTTTTTCTAAGTAAAGCATTGAAACTTTGCCTTTTGCCTGGTCTGAAGTCATTAAAGTAGTAGTGCAAGTAACCGGCACCACTCATAGGGGTTGATTTACTAAAGGAAAATAGACTGTGCACTTTGCAAAGTGCAACTGTGATCTGCAAGTGCAGTTGTTCCATTACTTAGTAAATGAGCAGAAGCTCTGCTGACTTCCATCCACTAATCATGTGCAAACAAAAATGCTGTTTTTAATTTTTTAATTTTCTTTGAACGTGGGTATTCTTCTGCATAGTGGAGCTTTACCTCATTCACTAAGCTCAGGAGCAAATGCACATGCAGAGTGCTACTGCACTTTGAAAAGTGCACAGTCTACTTGCCTTTAGTAAATCAACCCCATAGTGTCCCATTTGGGTCAATAGGAGATTGGAGTATGAAGACAGCACATGGTTACTAAGGGTAATGGGAGTCCACAGTCAGTCAAGCAACCTGTCGTTAAGAGTGTGCCTGTGTCAGGTGGGACAGCATCTATCAGCGAGGGAGATGTCAGCACTCCTTTTGCCTCCCATAGCAACAGTAGCAGAATCATGCTGCAAAGGTCCCTATCCTGTACAGAGCAGGGGCGGACTGACCATTTGGAAACTCGGGCACTGCCCGGGGCCTGGGGTCAGTAGGGGGCCCCACGAGATGCCCCTGGTACCTTTTTCATAGGCTTTTTTGAGTTTGGGCCAGGACACAGGGGCCCCATGATCCCCTATTTCCCGGGGGCCCCATGAGTTGTCAGTCCGCCCCTGGTACAGAGGTATGGGAGATCAAGAGTTAAGTCAAGAGCATGTGCAAAGCCTGCACTAGGTGAACGTCAGGGTTCCTATTCACTACTGGGAGAGAGGTAGTGGAGAACCCTGGACAGGTGAATGTGAACATGAGCTCAGCATGTCCCTCCTAACTGAAAGTTACAGTCATTGATACGGGAACCCAAGAGTTACCTGGGGGACAGTTATTGTGTAAGTGTGGTGCATGGCCATCTCTAATGTCAGTGAGCTCACCTTAAGGTTGAGTTTTCCCCAATGGCAGTCTCAGCCTTGTCTCTGGGCATTGATGGAACTGGCACAAGTAAAAGTACTCTATGTACAAGAAGAGTGACCCTGTTGTAGGTGCCCAGCATAGCCCAGAAGAACCCACCCTGGGGTAGGCCTTCTATGTTACCCACACTTGGCGCCCAATACTAAGGGGAGTATGGAGGGAGTGTCACCCACCTATCCTACACAGGAAAAAATATGATCTATTCTGTGCAGGCAAGGTTACATATCTTTCTTACCAATTAAGAATACAAAGATGTTCCTAATAGACAGGGCATTCAGGAAAGGAATGCCAATAATAATGATCCTATAATTGAATCTCCTTATCCCATGAAGATTGTTAGAAAGGTCTGGCTTGTCATGTCCCTTATTAAGACCAATATCTCATTATCTTTTGTGTTGCAGGGTCACTATTCTCGGTAGGAATGGGATTGTTCAGTATGAGAAATCTAGATAATGGCACAGATTAGAATATTTTACATTTTGGAATTAAATTTATGAACAGTAATATAAATTTTTAATTTTAGCTGAGTGTCACTCTGACTTGTCACTCTACTATTTTTAGGGACACATCTCTAAAAGTCTAGACTGTCCTTGACGTTCTGGAAACACAGAACGCAGTGACTGTATTATTTAAATATGATGTTTTGCTCATACTAGACAAACATGCATTGGAGGACTAGTAAATATGTGTGCTTACTTTGCAGAGATACCCTTGATCTTGTACCTGTTTGCTCTTATATCGATAACGTGGCTTTGGGGTGGGTTACATGTGGCTTACAGACACCTTTGGATGTTGGTTCTCTTCATCATTTTCAACAGCCTTCAGGTAAGAGTTCAATCAAATAAAGAAATCAAAGAATATAGTATACCTATAGCTGCCTCTCAAAAACAAATAGAATATGTAGGACAAATTTCTGACTTAACAAAGTTGTCCAATGCCATGCTGCTTTCCATTAACAATACCATACCCAAGGTCATAATTATCATAAGGTACTCACAGAGTGATTGGGGTGATATATGAATGGGCAGCATATGCTTGGTACATAACATTAATGGGATTTAGAGTCATCTTGTTTGTGACTGGGTGTGACAAGGCTTCCCTTATACACGTGATACCTGCACAACTGGAAGTATAAGCATTGATTCTAAATATTTATCTTCCTGATGGGTGCCAGGTCAGAACCCCACTGTTGTTAGGGCCTTCTCCTGCTGGCCCCTATATCACTACGGGACCCTATAGGTATTCAACACTCCTGGACATGTCAAATGCTGAAGAGTTTACTGGAGACTGTACTGTTTAAGAACAGTTTGTCTTGCCTCCTGAGAGGTAAATATTAAAACTGAGCTCCAGGGAAAGGAAAATGCTCCTTTCAGTGAAACTACCTCAACACTGCAACAAGTAGTAAGTGCTTCTTTAGGTGGTAGGAGAGCAAAAAAAGCAATTTTACTTCCATCCTCCACTTGCTCAGGATACCTTCAGGCTGTGGGACCAGTCCCCACAGTCTCTTCCTATATTCCAGAGGTCACAGGACCCCGGGCAACATCAAGTCCAATGAAGAACTCATACCCCTGTACTGAACATGAGGACGCTGAGGAACAGTCCACTGTCAGACCATAAAGGGTTGTAGAGGAGAGCACTGGCTGCCATAAGAGTGGAGGATCAGGTAAGTAAAACTGTTGTTTCTGGTCCCCTACACCTAAAGGAGGATTTAAATCTTGCAGTGTGGGGGCAGCCCATCTATAAATGAACATTTTTCTTTTCACCAGAGATGGGTTATAAGTGTCTTCTGCAGGAGCCAAGCTTTGCCATTTTTTTTTAATTCAAAACAAAAACTGCTGTAAGAAAATATGTTAGTTTTTTAAACTGTTAAAAACACCCCCTATCTTTTTATATCCCTTAGCTGATAAAGACATATGTGCATCTTACTTTTCCACTTGCCTATAATAGCCATTTAAGGCTCCTCCTGAAGACCTTTAGCCAACATAGTACAGAATGCAGCAAAAGTAGGGGATGCAGGGACAGAGCTACATCCTCCTGACTTCTCACCGCTTAATTACAGTATATAAAATGCTCAAAGGTAATCTGGCAAACCAATGTCCACCTGAATCTGACCCTTTAAAGAAAGCTCAGTCCTGTAAACACTTAGTACATCTATCTACTATATTAACTCTGCAAAAAAAGTTATCTATAAACAAGGGCGGACTGACAACTCATGGGCCCCCAGACAATAAAAGATAATGGAGCCCCTGTGTCTCTGCCTACACTAAAGCCAAAGCCACACCCACACAACACCCCACCTACATATTGCAGCACAACTGCATATAAAGGGCATTGAAAAGAATTTAAAAATAATAAAACAATGTGTGGGGTCCCCCCTCCGTTCATACCAAGCCCTTCGGGTCTGGAATGGGTCTTGAGGGGAACCCCCCATGCCAAAATTAAGAAAACATGGCATGGGGTCCCCTCCCAAGATCCATACCAGACCCTTATCCGAGCATGCAGCCCGGCAAGTCAGGAAAGGGGGGGGATGAGCGAGCGCCCCCCACTCCTGAACCATACCAGGCCACATGCCCTCAACATGAGGGGGTGCTTTGGAGGGGTCCCCCCAAAAGCATCTTGTCCCCATGTTGATGGGGACAAGGGTCTCTTCCCCACAACCCTGGGCTGTGGTTGTGGGGTCTGCGGGTGGGGGGCTTATCAGAATCTGGAAGCCCCCTTTAGTAAGCCCCCAGATCTCATCCCCCCCCATGTGAATGAGTATGGGGTACATGGTACCGTTACCCATTCACAAAAAAAAAGTGTAGTGTGAAAAAAGACAGGAGACATTCTTTGACAAGTCCTTTATTAAAAGATGAAAAATAAAAGAATGTTCTTCAAAGTAGATCCAATATCAGTCACGATGCCCACCACTGCTGCTGTTACTCGGGAAAAAAAGCTCTTCTCCCAAAACTGGCTCCCGGTCATCTGCCCGCTCCGCTGGCTTGACAGTTCTTAAATATGTAAGAGGCGGGGCCTCCCAGTGACATCATGTGTGTGGCCCCCACCTCCTTGTGACATCATTGACCCAGCATGCCCCGGTTGATGACACCACAATTGGCGGGGTCACACACACGTGATGTCCCCGGATGGCCCCGCCTCTTACATATTTAAGAACTGTCCAGCCAGCGGAACAGGCAGATGGCCGGGTGCCAGCGTCGGGAGCAGAGCCTTTTTTTTTCTTTCTTTTTTTGTGTAGTTGCCATGGCGGCCAACGTGATTGACGTTGGATCTACTTCAGGGGGACATTCTTTTATTTTCCTTCTTTTAATAAAGGACTTACCAAAGCCTGTCTCCTGTCTTTTTTCACACTAAACTTTTTTTTTTTGTGAATGGATAGCGGTACCATGTACCCCATACTCATTCACATACGGGCTTGTCCCCCCCCCCCCTTTCCTGGCATGGGGGTTCTCCTCAAAATCCATACCAGATCAGAAGGGTTTGGTATAGATGTAGGGGGGACCCCACGCCGTTTTTTTAAATTATTTTTTGAATTGCCAGCAATTCTTTCTTTTACATTCAGCTGTCAGTGGGGAACCCCGCTGACAGCTGAAACATTAAAGCATTGTTTTCACTATTAAAATACTACATGGCTTGATAAAATAACTTTTTTATTTTTAAATGCTATGCGTTATCCTACCGCATACTCGGATGCAGTAAGATACCGCTTAGTGAATTGTGCCCAGTGAGCCTCTCACCGGGCCTCCTACTGACCCCGGGCCCTCAGACAATGTCCGAATGGTCAGTCCACCCCTGTCTATAATCCAATCTCTGCATTATATCATGCATGATTCAGTTAATAGAATAAATGACTCCTGGTAGATAATGCTTGATAGAGTACGGTAGATTTGTCTATATACAGACAAGGTATTTACAGTGCTTGTAATTTGCCTGTAAGGAAAGTACTTGGTTTCCCGTAACTTTCCTTTATTGCAAGAGCTGTCTCAGTGTATCCAAATATAACCTTGTAATCTTTTACCTATGTCCTTATTATGTTACTCTTTGGAAAGTACCTGTGAAACAATCACACCCTTAACATTATCGCCTACAGGGAAATCATAGTCGGGGATTCTCCAGCTTAACTGTTACTAAATGTTATTTAGTAGTAACTCTAAGTAGAGAGCGTCTGTTTTTTCCCACAGACAACATTTCTGATATACCATAAACATATATTATGCCAATACTGGTACTTATTATGTAGTTATAGTAAACACATTAAACTAAGATCGGTGTATTTATCACTGCAGAGATACAGTAGATTTATTATAATGTTCGGTTTATGGTTTCAGAGTAAAGTAGGAATTTTGTTTATTTTCCTAGTGTATCTAAATGCAAGAAACTGAAAGATGTCTCTTATATTCGCATACTGCCATACAGCTATTGCATTGTGCAGGCTTAACAAACCCAAGCTAAGGTATGGCTCTGTGAGAGCTGTGCTTCTCTTGTACTCATAGGTTGGCTGTGCAGGGGCAAATGCATGGAAAGCTTTTTACTAAGTCCTGCTTGGAAACAAGGCTTCCTCCATTCAGATCTGTAGCCTGCTATGTCTACCGGTTTCTGCCCTCTGCCTGCCTGGTGTAAGGGGGTACTCTGATGTGGACACCTAATGTAGGGGCACTCTGATGGGAACACCTGATGTAAGTGGGCACACTGAAGGGGACACCTTAATGTAAGGGGGCATTCTGATGGGGACACCTGATGTAGGGGCACTCTGAAGGGAACACCTGATATAAGTGGGCACACTGATGGGGACACCTAATGTAAGGGGGCATTCTGATGAGGACACCTGATAAGGGGGGCATTCTGATGGGGACACCTTATCTAAGGGGGCATTCTGATGTGGACATCTGATGTAACAGGGCATTCTGATGGGGACACCTGATGTAAGTGTGGCACTCTGATGGGGACACCTGCTGTAAGGGGGCATTCTAATGGAGACACCTGATTTAAGGGGGCACACTGATGGGGACACCTAATGTAAGTGGGTATTCTGATGGGGATACCTGATGTAAGGGGCACTCAGATGGGGACACCTGATAAGGGGGGGGCATTCTGATGGGGACACCTGATGTAAGGGGGCATTCTGATGGGGACACCTGATTTATCGGAGCCCTCTAATGGGGACACCTGATCTAAGGGGGGGTACTCTGATGGGGACACCTAATGTAAGGGGGTATTCTGATGGGGACACCTGATGTAAGGGACATTCTGATGGGGACACCTGATGTAAGGGTTACTCAATGGAGATACCTGATAAGGGGGGTTGGGGGGCATTCTGATGGGGACACCTGATGTAAGGGGGCATTCTGATGGGGACACCTGATGTAAGTGGCACTCTGATGGGGACACCTGCTGTAAGGGGGCATTCTAATGGAGACACCTGATGTAAGGGGGCACACTGATGGGGACACCTAATGTAAGTGGGTATTCTGATGGGGATACCTGATGTAAGGGGCACTCAGGTGGGGACACCTGATAAGGGGGGGCATTCTGATGGGGACACCTGATGTAAGGGGGCATTCTGATGGGGACACCTGATTTATCGGAGCCCTCTAATGGGGACACCTGATCTAAGGGGGGGGGGGGGTACTCTGATGGGGACACCTAATGTAAGGGGGTATTCTGATGGGGACACCTGATGTAAGGGACATTCTGATGGGGACACCTGATGTAAGGGTTACTCAATGGAGATACCTGATAAGGGGGGTTGGGGGGCATTCTGATGGGGACACCTGATGTAAGGGGGCATTCTGATGGAGACATCTGATGTATCAGGGCCCACTGATGGGGACACCTGATGTAAGGGGGGACTATAATGTGGACAACTGATGTAAAGGGGTATTTTGATGGGAATACCTGATGTATCGGGGGCCCTCTGATGGGGACACCTGATGTAAGGAGCACTCCGATGGGGACACCTGATAAGGGGGGGGCATTCTGATGGGGACACCTGATAAGGGGGGGCATTCTGGTGGGGTCACCTAATGTAAGGGGGCATTCTGATGGAGACATCTGATGTATCGGGCCCACTGATGGGGACACCTGATGTAAGGGGGGACTATGATGTGGACAACTGATGTTAAGGGGCATTCTGATGGGGACACCTGATGTATCGGGGGGCCTCTGATGGGGACACCTGATCTAAGGGGGACTCTGATGTGGACAACTGATAAAAGTGGATAGTCTAATGAGGACACCTGATGTAAGGAGGGATTCTGATTGCTTATTGTTTGCTAGCCATAAAAAAATACTACTCCAATACTAGGTTCTGACTCATAGCACAAACATGAAATTCAGACCTCTACTGGAAGAAAATTTTACACATCTTCTTGAATTTTAATTCAATATTTCTTCTATATACCATTTAGGTATATTGTTTTGTCAATGAGAATGTTAATCTATGTAGTTTGAAAGCACCTCTGAAGCTGTATTGTAAGCATTTGAAGAACACAGAGGAGTGTATTTTAAAAGTTTTTGCCTAGTAATTTACCCAGTGAAAGCGCATGGCAATTTGTTCTGTGCGTACAGGGCAAAAAAACCAAAACAAATGATATTAGGTCTCATGTGCTAGTCAAGTGTTTTTTCATTAATTTAAAACTCAAAATACAGTATTTGGCCACTAGATGACATTAAGTATAGGAATTTCCTAAGATACTTAGTGCCATCTAATGGCCAAATGTGTTTATTTATATTCTAAATCAATGAAAAACATTCAATCAGTACAGTAAATAGCCTGATAGCATTTGTTTTTTGCCCCATTTGCACAGAATGAATGTACATGCACTTGCACTGGACAGATTACTATGCAAATGTTTTTTGACTATACCCCCTAGTCATGTGGCTAAACAAAATTATTCTGATTTCAAGAGCATTAAAGAAATTGAGGTCCTACCCTCTATGTTTTTTTTAACAAAGAACCCCCTTCCCCCTACACACGCACACACATGCACACACGCACACACGCACACTATTGTGAAATATATTTTGATGATTGCTTTACTTTCTTTCACAGGGCCTCTATGCCTTTGCAGTTTACTTTATTATGCACAATCAGCTGTGCTGCCCAGTTAAAGCCAGTTACAGCCTTGAGACGGATGGACCCAGAAGCCCCACTTCTGCCTTCTTTACACCCAGCAGTGGGATGCCACCAGCTGGAGCTGAAATCAGTAAATCCACTCAGAACCTCATTAGTGCAATGGAGGAGGTAATATGGATTATATGATGTTCAAGACAACTCTGCTCTATAGCTCCCTGGTTTTAAATTTGGGTGAATAGATGTTAATTTGGGTGAATAGATGTTAAATACATACTGGGACCTGTGCTGAAAGAATATGGGTGGTGCTATTACTAACCTTGCTCAGAAAATGCTAGTTTTTTAGATGGCATGGTTTCATTACTCTCTCAGCCACTAACCTGTAAAAATTATGCACATTCTGACCAGCATTTGGACCCCTTGGTGATTCTGTCTGTCACTTGTAACCGCACTTTGATATTATTTGTTGCATGCTTGTTCTAGGCCAGTAAATGAGAAAGTATTGAAGCCGGAGGATCAGCTTGACTAATAAACTAGCTTTTTAATTAGTAGAGCAGTGGGGGTCCCTGTATGTCTTTCAACGCAAGTTGCTAAGTACATTTTAGACTTTTGAAGGTTCTGCATATGAGCTGACAGCACAAGATGTCTGAGAAAAAAAAGTGTTTTTCTCTAAATTTAGTTTCACTTCCTTATTGGAACCAGACTATTCTTTTCTTCAGGGCAAACTTCTGCCAGCTGATATACCAGTGTCCAATGAGACTGTCACTGTGATCAGCACACTAATTAGAAAGTAATGTGACAGTAATGTGGTATTTGTTTTTAAGCAGCAATTTAACTTTAAGGCTACATGTACATGAGACACTTCTGAATGATGGAAACTGAAAATGTAGGTTAAAAAAAGGCTGTTTAGCCACGTTTAAGTACAGGAGAACCTCCCAAATACCCAGAATGCAATGAAAAGTGATAAATTATTAACTATTTCAAACTGTTTCTGAGGAATACAGAGAGTAGAAGCAGAGACAGCAGTATGTGTTGAGATAAGTGTGAGTTGCTCATTAACATTTCTTTTTTTTCCAGGGGTGGGAAGGTGTCTAGGGGGAGTGAGTCATTAAAGTCATCTGGCAGGGGGTCTTCCAAGAGGAATTTGAGGTGTGAATGGTCATTAACATATCTTTTGTTTCCAAAGGTGGGAGAGGTCTGAGGTGTGAATAGGTCATTACAATGTGTGACAAGCTTGGTAGGAACATCCTGTATTCAGTGTTTTGTTCATCTGAGTACCTTGAAAGCGCTTTGCATGAATTTTTCATGATGAAGGCTCTGATCAGCATTGGGAACTGGAAGAATAAAAAAAATTTGCAAACGCTTATAAACGCGATTTTCCGCATTTAGCCACATTTACAAGCGTTTTGCATTTGAAACGCTGGTAAAATTGACTGCTGAACGCAAGTTTTCTGCATTAAAAAAAACGACTGTAAACTCAAATGCCTGTAAACGACTGTAAATGAAGATGTGTACATGGACACATAGGAAAACATTAGGGTGAGTTCAGGGACTGCTGCAGCTCATAAACACATGTTTAGGAGCTGTTCAGCGTTTTTTCAGCAGCCCCTGAACTCACCCTAATGTTTTCCTATATGTCCATGTACAAAGGTCTAGGTCCATCTAGTCCATTTTTGAGGTACTGGTGAAGTCAGTTTTGCTGGCTGATTGCTGATCAGGCCATCTTTAAACTTTAGACTGCATGTTCCCTCCCTCCTTATATTTTATAGGGGTTTATAGGCTGGGTATTAGAAATGATGATTTTAGGATTGCTGAGCATGCACCATCCAGATAAGAGAATTAAAGTAGGTGTTCATTTTTTTTTATAGAAAGGCAAACATTTAAAGGCCTCCCTGGTTTTATCATGCAAGTATATTTTTTCCATGGTGTCATGCTGATTTGCAGTTACTTTGCCTATATTTCAGATTTCCTCAGACTGGGAGCGGTCTGGCAGTCAGGAAAAGCATAGCCCTCAAAATGGTACAGCTTACACCCCATCAGGGGGGTACAGTAATGGTTCACTGGTCGCTGATGAGGAACTCCAAGAATTTGATGACTTAATATTTGTGCTAAAAGCTGGTATGTAGTTAAATTGTTATGCAGTCTGTACAAATTAATTCACATTGTTTAAACTAACATGGGCAGTGTTTACACCCAGCACACACTGTGTTGGCCATACATGTAACGACAGAATCGGTTACCATAACATAGTTACATAGTTAGTCTGGCTGAAAAAAGACAAAAGTCCATCCAGTTCAACCATAAAAAAAAATAATAATTCTACATCCACAGTTGATCTAGAGGAAGGCAAAAAACCAGCAAAGCATGATCCAACTTGCTCCTGCAGGGGAAAAAATTCCTTCCTGATCCCCGGAGAGGCAATCGGATATTCCCTGGATCAACTTTACCTATAAATAGTTAACGGTTATATGCTGTGCATCCAAGAAAGAATTCTTTTTTTAGGCTTTTTTTAAGCAATCCACTGAGTTGGCCAGAACCAACTCTTGAGGGAGTCTACACCGAGTTCACTATATGAACCACTGATGTATTTATACATGTTGATCATATCCCCCCTTAATCTCCTCTTCTCAAAAGAGAATAAATTCAGTTCCTCTAATCTTTCCTCATAGCTGAGCTCCTTCATGCCTCTTATCAGTTTGGTTGCCCTTCTCTGTACTTTTTCCAGTTCCCCAATATTCTTTTTGTGAATTGGTGCCCAAAATTGAACTGCATATTCCAGATGAGGTGTTACTAATGATTTGTACAGGGGTACTATGATATCTCTCTCTCTGGAGTCTATACCTCTTTTAATACGAGAGGATTTTGCTCGCTTTAGAAACCGCAGCTTGGCATTGCATGCCATTATTAAGCTTGTGATCTACCAGAACTCCCTGATCCTTCTCCACCATTGATTCCCCAAGTTGTACCCCCCCCCCTAGTATGTATGATGCATGCATATTCTTAGTCCCCAAGTGCATAACCTTACATTTATCAACATTAAACCTTATTTGCCATAGAGTTGCCCAATTAAACAGTGCATTGAGATCGTAAGTTGGAGACATCCTGTAAGGACGTTATTCCACTGTACAGCTTGGTGTCATCTGCAAAGACTGAAATGGTATTTATAATCCCAGACCCTATATTGTTTATAAATATTTTAAAAAGTAAGGGTCCCAACACTGAACCCTGGGGTACACCACTGACAACCCTAGACCATTCAGAGTATGAATCATTAACCACTACTCTCTGAATACGATCTTTTAGCCAGTTTTCTATCTAATTACATACAGATTTTTCCAAGCCTGTAGACTTTACCTTACACATTAGCCATGTGTGGGGAACTGTGTCAAACGCTTTTGCAAAATCCAAGTATACCACGTCCACCGCCACCCCTCTGTCCAAGGTTTTGCTCACCTTCTCATAAAAAGAAATCAGATTTGTTTGACAACTTCTGTCTTTCATGAATCTATGCTGTATGTTGCTTAACCTCCCTGGCGGTATTCCCGAGTGTAGCTCGGGGTAAAGTTTCAGTACCACAAGCGGTAACCCTGAGCTACACTCGGGCTTACCATGCGGCGCTGCTCTGGGATCCCTCGATCACTTACCTTGTCCTGCGCTCCCGCGATGTCCCTCCTGCAGTGTCCCCGGCAATGTAATCCGGCGGATGCCGGCATCTGTCATCTGGGTTCCGTCTCCTGCGAGCGTCGGGACGTACGGGGGGACAGAATGACGGGAAATTTGAAAATGACAAAAAGTGACATTCACTAAAATCACATAGTAAAACATTACTGCATCAAACCATTTCACATACATTTTGTCCCTAGTGCTTTGTCCTGTGCCCTGCCTGCATTTTTACTGTTCTTTCTGCCTGGAAACTGAGAAACGTCCATGGTGTCCAAAAAGCGTCCCTTTAGGTCAAAAGCGGTTTTAGACCAGCTAGAGAACAGTGATAGTAAATTAGAACCACTTGCAGAATTGTGTGATAATGATTCGTGGGAAAATTCGGCATCAGACACTGAAAACGATTTTGCGATTCTGCTCAGTGATGTGCGAACTTGGCGCTATATTTCAAATTTCAGTGTTTTTGGTTTGATTATATTGAATTAAAATTTATTATTATATTATTATTTTTTATGATAATTTATTGAATTAAAATGTATGATTTTGCGTTTCAAGTTTTATCCTACCCGGTATGTTTACTATACTCTTGTTCGGACAGATTTCAGTGAGTTATTCCTAAAAATTACAGGCCTACAAAAAAAAAACATATTTCCATGCAAAAAAATGTACCGCTTTGAGCACAGAAATATGGACATAATCATACCGCTAGGGAGGTTAAAATATTTTTTTCCAGCAAGAACTCATCTATGTGGTCTTTTATTAAACTCTCCCAACTATAGAAGTTAAACTAAGAGGTCTATAATTACTTGGTAAAGATTTTGACCCCTTTTTAAATATTGGCACCACATTGGCCTTACTCCAATCCGGTTGTACTATGCCAGTCATTAAAGATTCCCTAAAAATTAGAAACAATGGATTTGAAATGACAGATCTCAATTCTTTAAGGACCCGTGGGTGTATGCTACCCGGTCCATGTGCTTTATTCACCTTTATTCTGTCTAAATATTATTGAATCATATCAATTGTGAGCCAATGTGGATCATCTGGGGCTGTGTCAATATCATGCCCATTATGGACAAGAGCTCCCCCATGCTCCTTTGTGTACACAGAGCTGAAGAAGGTATTTAATACATTTACCTTCTCTTTGTCCCCAGTCTTCCACTCTAGATTATTTTTGTAAAGGGCCTACATGCTCGGACCGGACCTTTTTACTATTAATATATCTGAAGAATTTTTTGGGGGTTGGTCCTGCTTTCTTTTGCAATCTGTCGTTCATTTTAAATTTTTGCGGCCTTTATTTCCTTTTTGCATATTCTGTTATATTCTTTGTAATGTTTAAACGATGATAGCGTTCCTTTATTTGTATATTTAATAAAAGCTCTTTTCTTATTATTTATAGCTTTTTTTAACTTTGTTGTTTTCATAAATGCCAATATTCCCTCCCAGTCTAAGTCTTGGAGAGCAGCTCTCAGCCTTGGAAAATTAGTTCTCTTAAAATTGAGTTTTTTTATTTTTCCCGTATGTGCTCGCTGTTTACAGCTAACAATAAATGACATGATGTTATGGTCACTGCTACCCAGATGTTCTTTTATATGGCATTTGTAATAAGCTCTGCATGGTTTGATATTACCAGGTCCAGCAGAGTATCATTCCTAGTAGGGGCCTCTATGAACTGTACCATAAAATTGTCCTGTAGTAGGTTTAAAAATGTTTGCCCTTTAACTGTTCCTGCAGTACCATTACTCTAGTCAAATTCCGAGTAGTTAAAATCCCTCATTATTATCACTGTTCCAACCCTTGCAGCCCTTTCGATCTGTGCAAGGAGCTGAGTTTCCACCTGCTCATTAACACTGGGAGGCCTATAACAAACTCCAAAAAATACCTTTGTAGTACGCACCCCTATGTGCAGTTCCACCCATAATACTTCAGCCTCATCACACTCTCCATCAACTAGGTCCTCTTTCACACTCGCTCTGAGATCACTTCTCACATAGAGACAGACACCACCACCTTTCGTTTGTGTGTATGCCAGTGCCCATTGTGAAGTTAGCCTTTGCTTGGAATTATGAGCATGTGCAGGAGCATGCAATAGCCGCCTTATTCCAACATATGACCTTCTCCTACAGTTGTTATAATACTGACTTGACTGGCCTGTTTTTTGTTTGTAGGCTGCTATCTTTTTTAGGAAACAATACTGATCTTATAACATTTTCCCATTTCTACAGGCTAGTCTATTAAATACTGGCTATATCTTTATACAACATTTACTTTTTTAAGTGTAAGTATGCCTCATCAATCTTCAGTTAGCTTTTCTTAAAGCGGAACTGAACTCTCTCAGGCAACATTGACTATTTCTAATCTGTATTCTTCCAGCCTTAGTAAATAGTTAGGGTGGTGTATTATATTTACTTGTTTTAAGCGGTTTTTTTTTAAGTTTTTAGTTGCTTTCTGGTTTCTGAGCTTAACCCTTAATATAAATTAAATAGCGTTTTCGGTTTATCGTGCTTAGAGTTATTGAGTTAAGTTTCGCTTTAATTAAATGACAGATTTCAGAGACAGACACATGTTGCAGAATTGTTTACTTGCTGCTCACTTTACTCCTAAGGTCCACACTGCATGGGGCACAGCCATGGGAAATAATGGGAATGGGCTTCAGAAGTTTGGGGTGCAACAAATGTAAACACACTTCCAGCCCTGGGTCAGCTGCTGTAGTGAAAAGTCTACCTGAGTTCTGTCATTTTTATTTATAAATTCTAGCAGGAGGATGAGGATGAGTGGTTTTCAGGATTTTGCTTGTAGCTAGCGTCACACTTTAACCTACCCAGCAGTGCACAGATAGAAATGATATAACCTACCCAGCAGTGCACAGATAGAAATGATAATTTCACCAAGCAGACAAAAATATACCCTACAACTTATTCACATAGACATTTAGATGTCATGTTTTCCACCCACGCACTTTTGAGCTATTTGAGAGAGGGATCTGGTGTTCTCATTATTAAACTGATGAGTCCGATGTTCTCAGTATATGACTAATATTGTGTTCGAGATCCACCAGGGACAGCAAAACCTGTATATAAACAATGTGCTAGATTCACAAAGCACCTGTCACAGAACATGACAACAAATAATGGAACTTGTGTTACCAGAAGGCAGAATTTAATCAAAAAGTGATTATCTATGTTTGACAAAGAAATGCTCTGAATAAATGGTTTCCAAAATATTTAGCAGCTGTTGTTAAAGCTGAACTCTAGGCAGATCTAAAAGACACAAATGGATCAAAGTCTTAATTCAATAATACATCATTAAATGCATTTTTTTAATTTAAGTGATTTGATTACCTAAATTGGACTTTGTATTAACCTGCATGCTCAGATAAAGGTCTGGTATGGAAATTGGGGGGACCCCATGTTATTTTTTTTAATGGTGTCCCCCTGAAAATCCAATCCAGACCTAAA